AGTCCCTTAGTCCCCTTAGTTCCCTTAGTCCCCTTAGTTCCCTTAGTCCCTTTAGTCCCTTATGTCAATCTGAAATCAAGTGCTCTTTTCTCTGTTTAAATTCAGATTGAAATTAAATAACCCATAGTATGATTTTTTCATGCGAAAAATTCAGCCAATCAGGGGTTTTCGATATTGGGCTTTCCGCCAATAGGGTTTTCTCATGCCAAAGATTCAGCCAATCAGGGGTTTTCCGTATCGGGCTTTTAGCCAATAGGATTTTTCCCTGTCAAAAATCCAGCCGATAAGGGGTTTTCGATATTGGGCTTTCAGCCCATAGAATTTTTTCATGTCAAAAATCCAGCTGATCAGGCGCTTTCGACATTGAGCTTGCGACCAATCAGATTTTCTCATGCAGGAAGACCAGTGAATCACATGTTTTCGCTGACGAAGTCTTGTCCAATAAGGTTTTTGCGCAAGAGCTTCAGCAATGTAATCTTCTCACTCTCTCGCTCTTACCCAATGATATTTTTATCAAGCTGAGGTTTGTGTGAGTGAAATGTTTTCGCGATTCCGCTTTGTTCAACCAGTTTTTTCAGCTGGAAACTGAGTTAATCAGATTTTTTTATTGTACGGCTTTGCTGTAATCAATTGTTGCAAGACTTGGAGAAGTCGGTACTTATAGCGGTCTAGAAGTTTCCTTTCTCCTTTGTTCACAGGTAGCTATGCCTTGTAGAACATCGATTTTTCAAAAGCTCTGGCAATTAAAACTGTAAGGAGCAGATTACAAGGAACTATGGTTTTTGGAACTTCTCACCTAGAATTTTTTTTTGTTATAAATACAACAATGTTTTACAGTAAGCCAAACATGACCCGACTAGAATGCGAAGAAAAGAGGGTGATTTACTAGGAATGTTGGTTTAAACATGAAACCGGCTAGGCATGAGTGGCGCCCTAAAGGGGTGCCGACGAACGACTAGCCCGTGATCTGGCGGATTCTCTGAAGGTACACCTTGGGCCGGCGGAATTTAGATAAAATTGCTCATTGATCGAATCTCACCGGTTGAAAGTGTCTGAAAACTGCGAAAAACTCAGTGCGGTAATATGAGTTTTGATCCTCGATAAATGGACTGGAATAAGGAGTTATGAACCAAGAATAGCGATAATGATAGACACAGGGCTGACGTTGTAGCCTCAGACGGAAGAAGGTCTTGCAGAAAAATGCGAATGAAATGTATGCTACTGTGTGCAATGGTTAGGAACATTAACAATTTGTCAAAAAGTCACAGAGGGAAAGGATTAAGAAGAAAGTGAAGGACTGTTTAACCCTTTCACCGCGATTCGGTTTTCCAAGGAAAATGACTTCAACATATTAATTTTCATGCGTGTCCGCGCTTGATAAATGTACTCATTGATATTTGCAGTCTGTGCAGCTATTTGTTTTTCTTTCTATTGTTTGTATCATCGCATAGGAGATCTTCTTTCGCGTCGAATTGAATAGTCACTCAAGTTTGTTGTTCTCTCTGTTACATGTATTATACAGTAGGAATGAAATAAAGAAACAAAATTTCAATTTTTGTCTTTCACATTCTTTTTGTAACATTATCTTTCACTCTGTTAGGTGGCGTCATGACCTCATTCCCGTCCTCTCTAAGTATCATCGCTATAAGAGAAGCAAGTGCGACGGCAGCAAAGAGAATAAAAACTTTCTGCCCTGATTGTAACAAATATTTTTGTCTTGATTGTTTTAACGAGCAGCATCACGCTATGCAATAAATGATTTGAAAAATAGTGAAGGCAGAGCAAATTGCAACTTACACATAACCTCCAGCCTAAGAATGAACGAAAGAAAAGTATTTCTCTATTCAATTTTTTGTTAAAATATAGTGGGGTCCACCGGTGGACCCCATTGCGGTGAAAGGGTTAAAACCATACCGGTGTCATATACGAAAGCGAGCAGTCGCGAGTGGTGGCTCGTATTGACACCGGCGACTAACTGTGAGCTGCCTCTTACGGTTAAATTTGGAAAATCCTAGGAGAAAATTGAAAAGCGAAATCTTTTTAGAAAGTGGTCGTCTTCTACAATAGTATACGGTTTTTTTCATACATGTATGTGTATATAACAATAGTTTTCACAACGAAATCTAGAAGGTAATGATAGATAATGAATGGAAGGGATTCAGTCGAGGGCTAAGCGAGTCGTAACGACGAGCGTTACTGGTGAGTTAACTGAAGGTCTGTAATCTCTATTTTTGTGATTATCTTCTTTCCATTAACCCAAGTTCGTTTCTCAGCTTTTAAGGTTCAATAGTTGCCAGAGATGTACGGATCTAACATAATATCCTTTTATCATGAAGCATAGATTGACATTGACCATGAACATGGATATCTTCTATATTATTCATGAGCTAAATCGACCGTTGATCAGTTCGACAAGCGTTGAAAAAACAAAGAGACACACATTCAATGGGAATTTAATCATAAGATTGACTTCTACATAGATTTACTTAGTAACTATGAATTTTATGTCTGCAGGTACAGCAAAACAAGACATCGTTTGGAACAAAAATCATTGGGCTGTATTTTGTGCTTTTTATAACAACAATCTGTTCCATGTCCAAACCTTGTCAGAACTTTGTAGTGACAAATGTGCTCAAACTTCTGGGTGCACTCATTTCACATGGACTCCACACGAAGGTGGTACTTGTTGGACGAAGAAAGGTCCTGTTTCGAAAGATGATGCGTTACTAACTAATGATCTATCTTTAGTCTGTGGTGTGGTGCTCATTCAAAAATTTTAAGAATCAAAATTGATTACAATTGCAAAATCGTATGAGCTTAATCGAAATTGATAATCTGCTATTTGTGAAACAAAATCAAGATCTTGATCGATTATAATTTTGATTTTGTTTGATAAAAATTTGCTTATTGATTTCGATTATTTCCATAGATTTTCAAATTTAAATCGTTCGAATTTTCCATTGACGTGAGTTGTTACCTGTTAATCTGCTGTAATCTATTATAACGTATTAATAAAGTTTAATTTATTATCACTTTTTAATCGATCTTCATATTTAAGTATTAATCAGTTTTAATTATATAAACTGAAGATGAGAGCTGATCTCAAGACTCGAACGCGTTACCCTAGCTTGTCATGATTTTCTGAATTACTCGTATTTAAAAACCATGAAGTTATCACCATGTTAAACTTCAGCAGATGAAGAAAATTTGAAACTACTACATAATTTTTTTCAAATTGAAATGGTGTCATTGCATCAGAAATTCATTAAAATTGATTAAACATTAATAAATCAGTTCAAATTAACTAAGATATTTTAGTCGGCTTCAATCAACTGTACGCTAATCTTTACCTCATTGTATGTTATATTTTTATGTATATAAAATGTTTTCATAATTCATATCCTAACAGGTTGTACTAATCTTATGTATCACTTCTACTTAGAACAATAATCAGTTTCAATTGATTGTTACTTTTTGGAATCAGTTAATCATAATTCATGCTTTGGATGACCGCATTAGTGATTAAAAAACCATTATATTGTTTATGATCATATATATCGTGTTTCATTTAGAACTTCTGTGCTAATAAATATTACATAACATTTTTATCTACTGTCGTCGAGCAACGTTTGTTTCGGAACTAAGGACCCATTTTAATATTGGGTAGCGGACAAGGAAGGCATTATGTTAGATAAGATGATTTACATTCATTTTATATAGACCATCTCTAGTTTAAGATAATATACCTGTTTTAAATATTCCGGAGTTCGATTGATGGAGACTATTTTGTTTATATCGAATCAACGGAACATCATATTCAGCTGATCCATTACAGAATGGTAGAGAAAAGTTTAAGGAAATGTCTCAAGGAGACATTTGGCTTAATTTTTGAAGCTTTCAAACAGATATGACACGAATTATGAATGTTACCTATTCTACAATGCATTTACGTTAGTGAGTTGTAACTTGGTGCAACTCTTGTATTGACTTTTTGATTGGGAACATTAGACGTATAAAGAAGAAGCCGATCAATCGAGTTCAGTCTACTGCTCATAACTTGATCATTTCTCAACATTTTAAGAACGTTTTCACCAATAGATATACAAGACACGTATCTAATCAGATGTAAAATTTAAGCCCATTTACTTACTATTTCACAGAGATATTAAAGATGAAAGATAAGCCAAAAAAAACCTGTTCTAGTTAGAACAATCCACAGTAATCATTTTCTTTCATTCTATCGCTTGTTCAACGTCTATATAAAGATTGGTTTTGTTTTCTATTCAGTGACGATTTACAATAAGATGAATATGAAAACATAATACTTTATATGTCTTATAGTCTAACACTAAAGACATAATAAATATTTTATCTTTCCTTTTTTCTGTGTAAAGTCTTTACAGGATTGCTCCCAACGTTTAGTCTTACTCATTCGATGGATAATTTCATAACAAAGATGATTCCTTGTCATACATATAGTATTTATTTTTCTATGTTTTTACCAAATAATTGACTCTTAAAATTCATCTAATCAAGGTTATTTTGAAATTTGTTATAAATAAACAATTAATTCTATACATCAATGAATAATTTTTCTACAACTAGAGAACTGCACTAGATTCAGAATTAAAATCGAAATCAAAAATGAAACTCCGTAAATCTATAGTGGTAACTGGTCGTATCTTGATATTGCCGTAAATTTAATATGCGCATAAACTCTGATTTAATATATAGATTGGCATAATTTAAGACAATATTTTCAAGTAAAATAACGATCAAATTTTATCCACATATTTTCTGTGATCGTTTAAATTAATTTATCATACTAATTAATTTAAATAAAATATTTTCATTAAAATCTTATCGGTGACTCAGTGAACATTTATTTATTTTAATATTGAAATCATTCGAGAAATATTTTGAGAAAATCTTTGAGAAAAGAATAAAGAATGACTGTTGATTATTGCTCAGAAAGAAAAAAAAATAGTATTTCAGGACAATTAATTGAGAACATCAAACGAATCAATACGATTCGGATGAATTTCACCAACGAATAATGAACGACCATTTACACTTAATGTCAAATCATGTGGTTCGCCGAATTTCTAAGCAAAACAAAAACGAAATAAGATTAGTTATTTTCAAAATAAAATAGGAAAATAAAAGACAAACATCATTTGGTTCCCAAGTAGCAATCAATTGACCAAAAGATTCTGGATGAACACTATATGTAAAACCTAATGCTCGATTTTTTTCATTTTTACCACTAACTGCATAAAGACGATCTATTTAAACAAATATTTAATTAAAAATACTAATTATATTTAAGTAAAACATACGTTTATTTGAATCATAATGTATAGCATAAACAGTTCTCATTAATGGATGATCAATAATAGCTTTAACTTGACCTTGATTATATTCATTTGTTTCATCATCATCATTTCCATCATCAAAACAAACAATTCTATTTAAATTAAATTATTATTAATAAAATAAAATAAAAATATTACCGTCCATTTTCTCTATCAGCAACACAAATAAGATCAAGTGTTTCAATAATAACAATACTATGTGGAATATTAAGTGATTTTTCTCTTTCAGGCATTGAATATTCTTTTACAAAATTTCCTTTTGAATCAAATTTAACAATACGATCATTACAATATCCATCAGCAACATATATATGTGAACCATCATTTGATGTAACAACATCAGTTGGTTTACAAAAATGTGATGAATCATCACCAGCAACAAATGATTCACCTAATGTTAATAGACGTTCACCTTTCGAATATTTAAATACCTAGTTTTGTGTTAATAACAAGTTTTTTTATTCTATTTTAAATCGATTAATATTTATTTTTGTTTACCTGATGCATTCCAACATCGGTTAACCAAATATTTTCTTCAGCATCAACATAAAGACCATGAGGCATATAAAATCTTTAAATTGAATAATCAAATTTATTTTACTTATTAAATATAACTTCAAAACTTACGTATTGTTTCCCCATTGATCAATTATTTGACCAGTACGAGTATTGACTGTAAGAATTGTATTCTCGGGTATAACACCAAATTTATTCTTATCAAAGTTCACACCATCAGGAAATGATCTTTAATAAAGTAACAAAAAACGAACATTTATATGATAGAAACGAAGAATTCTTTTTGTATGAATTATTTCGTTGTCTCTTTATCATTAATTATTTTAAATTCTGAGTAACAGTCATCTATCTATCTATATATATATTCCACCCTCATCAACATTCAATTCATTCGATATTCAAACAAACCAACAAACAATGTCATATGCCCACGACTTCTCATTTAGCTACAGTTCAGGTGAAGATTCTTTTTCTTATATTTCAGATCCATGTTATTGTTCAATACACAATGCACCTCCTCAATTGACTATGTGTACACATTATCAACCATATTCATATTATAATTATATTCCTGTGGCTCAACAACAACAACAACAACAACAACAGGTAAGTAATCAAATATATTCATCTTCTTCTACATTTCAGGTTCGTCCAGAGAAGATTAATCGTCGTTTTTCTCCAGAACAAATTCATATTCTTGAAGAACATTATTATAAAATTGATAAATATGTATCAAAATCAACAATTGATGATCTTTCAACTCGAACTCAATTAACACCGGCTCAAATTCGTGTTTGGTTTACTAATAAACGTACAAGAGAACGCCGTTAATTTTTTGTTTTTTTTGTTTTTGTTTTTGTTCTTGTTTTTCTTTTGTTTTTTTTTTGTTTTGTTTTTGATTTTGATTTGTTATTTTAAAACTAAAACTAAAAAAAATTGCATTAGACTTACTCTCTATTCCATTCTCTTGATGCTCGATGGAAAACAAATAATCGATTTGGATTTTTAACAGATGCAGCCAGACCACTAACTTGACCAAGTTTATATTCATGTTGAGAATCTTCATCAGATGATACAAGTTTTAATGGCTTATTTCCAATAACTTTAATTCTCTTGGGCTTTTTTTCCTTGTTTTTTTTATAGCATTGTTCTCTCACTCATCTTGATATATGAGATAACTCATTTATTGTATCATTTCAAAGAAGACTTAATTTTATTCATAAATTATCTGTAAAATAATTTAGGTTTAATAATGAATTATTTCCTTTTTGTTTGAAAATATTGACCATTACTCAATAAGCTTTTTTTCAAGTGAAGACGAAAAATCGATTAATAATTTAAAATTATAAAACATTATGAAAGCACTAGCGAGGTCCCGTTCATACTGCAAGGCTGTGTTGTCCTGTAACATATGACCTCAGACGTTTAACTTTTCATCCGATAACAGACATACAGACACTCGATATTATGTATATAGATAGATAGTCCTAAGGCCTCATACTTTTATATCGCGGATATTCTTATAGTTCATGTAGCCTTCGGCTTTATAGTATTATATCCCTTCTAATTCTTGAGAGTTTAAGGGTACCCCTATATAATAGCCCTTGGGACCTTCCGCCTTATAGCCTTATTTGACCTATAACCTTTGACCCGGCACAGACACACACACACACACTGAACAGTATATATATAGATTGATAAACTTTTATAGAGAATTCATAATTCTTTAATAGTCTTTCAATGTAATATTAAATATTATAGTGAAATACTTCTTCTTTTTTATTCTATTGATTAAATTGAAATGAATTCATCCACTAAATTTTTAACTGTTAGCCGAGTGAATTGAAGATGTACAGATTCATAAACGAGTCTCATTTTTAAAGTTTTTTTTCTTTGAAATCTTATTCAATTATGAATATTGGGATTTCCTTTTCGAACTTTATTTAAACAAACTAATTCCTAGATATACAAGTTTATTTTACATATTTACTAATTTCATATTTAATTAGTGAATGCCGATAATTCAATTATTTCTCTACGAATTTTTTATCAGAATCTTAGATATTCTACAATGTCTATTGTTATATTCGTCAGAGATTGTTCTATATCAAGTGATTTATTTTGACAATGGGAAAAGAACATTTTCTAACATAAATAACGAATATTTATAATTAATGATTAAACTTAACATGGAATCTTTTGTATGTTAACATTGTAGATTTGAAAAATAAATCAATCGTTTCCATAAAAGAATACAACGAGAGAACAAAACTCTTTTAGAAATAAGCAAACAAATAATTATCTTTATATAACAAAAGATAGATGTTTTTCTAAGATCTGAACAATGTGTCGAAATAGTGAAGCGAATATGTTCACTGAAAGATGATCAAACATATTAAAATAGAATTTAAAAATTTTCACTAGAAAAGTATCTTTTTGATATAGTCAGACAATGATTATCTAACTAGAACAATAGAATAAGATTATCGGTAGCGTCATATTCACTGTTAGCGTTTGACGAGTTCCGTTTCGCTCTTAAATTATGTGTGATCTATGCACATCTTTGATGCGTTTACATCTTGGTATCGCCATTTTTCGGGTGACTCAACAGTAAAGAAATTTTTGTGACGATCGCTCTATCGTCTCTATCATATCAGCTTAGTAAATTTCACTGTGACGAACTTCATAGTGAAAATCGACTGAAAACTAAATTAGTGCAAATTAAATTACTCAATAGGTTCTGATTGTTGACTTGTTCTATATTGTTTTGTGTTATATTCAACTTAATATGATTATTTCAATATCACTGATGAAAAATGAAAGACTATAATATTTGTTAGAAAATGTATTACTTTGATTTGGTGTATATGATGATAATGTCAATTTTCTAATCTAATTTTTTTTTTCTCATAGAAAATTTTAATTAATTTTTTGAAATAAAATTTGATATTTTGATAAATGAAAATTTGGTTTAAAATGTTTTGTTAATGTTAGACATTTTATTTAAAACATATAAATTAAAAAAAAAAAAATGTAAATAATTTCTGTTATTAAATAGTTTCAATTCTGATAATCGAAGGTCGATCATCATCATTATTGTTATTAATTAAAGAATTTCCTAAATAAAATTGAATATCTTGATAATCATTTGAGATAAGTTCTTTATGTTTTTTATCAATAACAACAAATAAATTAAATTGAATATCATTAGTTAATTGTGATGGAAATAATCGACGAACAAATGTTTTTAATTTTGCTATTGTCATTGATGATGGAATTTTCTTTTCAATTTTTATATCATTTTCATCGGCAAGTTCAAATTGAACTTTTAATAAATCTCGACGAATACAAAGACCTTTTTTTAATACCTACAAATATACAATTTAGATTTTACATTTTATTATTCTCATTTATCTAAATATTCGATTAGCATCTCATTTTTCAATGATTAATAAACATAAGTAAATTATATCATTGAGAATCAATCAAAGAAAAAACCTAAAAATGATTTGTGATTAGACACAAAGAGAAGACCCTATTTACAGAAAACTAAACTAACTAACAAAACAATATTGATTTGAACCTTTTCTCTCTATATATATATAACGGGTGGTCCAGAAGAAATGAATAATTTTATTGCTTCTGATTTTTTTATTATATAGTCTCACGTCAGTCGTTTTTCTGTTGTTGTTATCAAAAGATGCGCCATGAAATTCTCTACAAGAACATGTAACGACGTTTGATTTGATACTGAAGCATAAAAAAATCAAACAAATGAGACTGTCAAGCTCGAATATGTCGAACTTTCTAAAGATTTTTTTCTCAAAATACTCCGATTGTTTGCCATAATTGTACAAATGTAAAAAATCAGCAACGGATGTTTTATCGTACAGTTAAATATGTTGTTTCTCATGGCGCAGGATGAAGTCTGTTTTAGCCAAGTATTATGACTAAATTTCTACATAATCTCTTAAAAATGGGTTCAAAACGGTCATCATTTGGCTTATATTACTTATTTCATTCGGAGAAAACATATTGAAGATCAAAAGTTTGAGTGTGATGCACCATTAATTTCTCTTGAAAAGAATAGTTAAACAAGCTCAAAATGGTTCATGGTTGATCGAGATTAGCAGAGTTTCCTCAATACTCCGAAACTGCTGATCTAAAGACGTACTTTATGCAAAATTAAAAAAAAAAAGAAAAGACTATCCTGCACTGTATATTTTTATGCTAAAGTGTTTTTGATGGCAGCTAAAAGACAGCTTTGCAAGCGCTATAAAATGACTAGTTAAGCTTTTTACTGTCTCAAAATGCCAACGAATAAAACAGAAAAGAAACTTATTTGTTGTACAGAAATTTTAGAAAGTTTCACATATTGAAACTTGACAATTTGACCTGTTCGATTTTTCATACTTCAATGTCAAATCAAACGGTCTTACAAATTCTTGTAGAGAATTTCACGGCGCATATTTTGATAACAAAAATAGAGAAAAACGGTTGAGCCTCTATAAAGAACATTGAAAGGATAAAAATTACTCATTTCTTGTGGACCACCCATTATATATCTCGTGCCAATGTTACACTTTTTGCCGAAATTTAACTTTGACAATAAACTTTTGTCGAAGTTATTTTGTATCATTTAACTAAATATGTTTCATCAACAAGTAAATATCATCGTGTTGAAGCATGCATTGAAACTATTCCTTTCAGCTAAACAATATTCGTAACTATATTTATAATTCATTTAGAAATAAAGAGAAACTTAATTACAACAGAATATAATGAGCAACACAATGGAACAATCACGGTCATATCAACTCATGTCTATGTTGTCTTTCTTTGAATTGATAAATGAAAAGATTGACATCTGCTCACCGATGAGTCGATTTTTTAATTCACCATCAATTTAAGTTTATCACTCGTTATATCATAAAAGTTTTTGACTTTTTCGATTCATTACAACATTTGGAGTACTATAAATGAGTAGGGGAACCTCAACAAGATTAGTAAATAAAATGCTTTATTTCTAAATAATTTGACGTTTTTTAAAATAGATATTTATAAATATAGTTACGAATATTGTTTAGCTGAAAGGAATAATTTCAATGCATGTTTCAACACGATGATACTCACTTGTTAATGAAATATATTTAGCTAAATGTTGCAAAATAACTTCAACAAATTTTATTGTCGAAGTTAAACTTCGGTATGACTTATATATATAGATCTATTTATTAAAAAAAATGTCAAATTTTGAAAGAAAACAATTCATTTTGTTTTCTTTTTGGAAAATTTGATATCGAAACAAACTTGATGATTGAACGTTCTTAGAAAAAAAAACGAAGTTTTGGTTTTTGATTGAGATATTTTTTATTATTTTGATTTATTTGAAATTGTTTTCTTTTGATAAAATACTTGATTAAAATGATAATTGCCTTAAATTCCTTTAAGAATATTTTAATCGGACAGAAAATTCTTCATATATTCTATAATGATGTTAAATAGCATCGAACAGTACAAATATTTATTTATTTACATATATTTTGAAATTATAAATTTATTGTTTTTCTGTTGCAAAGAAGGATCATCTGTCGAATTAATGTTTACTGATAAACTCAAAATAAAACTGAAGATTAAAATTAAATAATTTTCTATCTAACATGCAAATAATTCATAAAATCAATTCTAATAAAAGTTTTTTTTTGTATGAATAACGATAAAATATATTTCAAAAACGGGTAAATCTTTCGAAAATCTCTAGTAAATAATCTATTGATGAAAAATATTCCACAAGTGGAAAAAAAATTATTTTAATGGAAATCTTCTCGAATTTGAATAAAATAAAAAAACGGTATTAACCTGATTTTGATTTGTTAAAAAAGGTTCTCCATGTTTAATAATTAATTTTTGATATTGTCTATGTTGATGAATAAAATCTAATTTATGATCAAAATAATCTTGAGCA